GCCCTCAGAACCTTCAAGCTCAAACTGTCACAATATCAGAGTTAAGGTATGACGGGACGTGCAACCTTAGACGATTCTGGACACATTTTGGTCTTCTCTGCGACAAAGTAAAATTTATCCAAGCCTAGTGAGCATGCAAACTCACCAAGGTTCAAACTAAGCCGTCAAGGCTTCTAGGATACGGAAGCTTTAACACCAACATGTCTACTCCAAGCCACCAAGGATGGACTATGGTGTGGAAGTCCAAACACAAATGTGGCTACTCCTGGCCACCAAGAGAGGCAACAAGCATAAAAAAAATAAAGAACAAAGAACATCGGAACTAGAGTAAATGCATCAGAGTTTTATTACTCTCTCAAGAGAATGAATGGAATGAGATGATACAAATGAGGAGGAGAGGCTCTCTATTTATAGTTGAGCCCCCTCTCAATCAATGGCCTAGATCGATTTACATCAACGACTAAGATCTGCCCAATTAATATAAAATCCCTTAAATCAAGGAAACCCAATCCAATCCTATCTAATTACATCCATTAGTAGGATTCTTTCCATGGATAGGTGTTCACACTGGATATGGTAGGATTCCCCCATAATTTCTTCATGATTTATTGTCTCTTGCCATATTTGTCGAGCTCCTGTAATCACCTTCGGATATGATGTCACTTTTTTTTTCTGCACGACCAATGTGAACGAGCTCCACAACATTCTCCAAGTGATGGGCCAAGTCTGGTGGCCTTGGAAAGCTCACATTCTTTATAAAACCTCTTTAACAGACAGTTGCACCAATGACTTGGACCTAAAGACACAGTCCGTGACATTTTCCCCACCGAAACTAGCGATGCCCTTGTCACTCCACTCGACGATCTTGGGAAACATCACCTTGGATAATTCTCAATGTCTTGGCTTGTTGTGGTCTTCCCATATGAACTGCTTGCCTTGGCTTTTGCCACGTGTAATTTCACGATCCCTCGCGCCATACTTCACATCAACTTAGTTGCCTTTATGCTCCCCCACTTCCTGACGTCGCCCCTATAAGGACTCGGCTTCTCCATAAAGGTTGTGCTTGCTTCGGCTCTTGTTGCTAAGTAATGAAATGGCATAACACACCCATAAGTACATCTATGTCGTAGGAACCCTTTCCTACAAGTCTTGATTTATCTTGTCTTGGACCCTCATGGCCCTGCAACAAATCTTGGATCCCCTCCAAACTTTGTTTCCTCCGCGCAAAAGGTTAGTCCTTACTCGACCTACGCTCACTAAAGACAGCAAATCAAACTCAAAAGAACACTAGAATCATGTTGAGATGTACCTTCCACTATGATTTCGTGGCATTTACTAAAAAATACGTGAACCCTTCTTACTCCATGAATTTTGACACTCCTAACATCAAACCTTTTTCATTGGAGTTCCTTGTGTCACCATGCACTGGCATTTTCTCACGACAAAGTCCGATGCCCCTTCTTTCCTTATCCCTTCTAACTTGAAGGTTGGAGCTTACTTCTCACCTTGAAAATGGGTAGTTTTTCCATGCTTACCTTGTCCCTCAACATCTTGACCCCCTTCAACTTTTTTCTAATAGTCTCTAAAGGACTGTTCTTCACTTGAACATCCTCGGAAAGCACTTCCTTCGACCCTTCTCTTGTGATGGTCTCTGAAGCCATGTTCTATACACGAACATGTTTGGTAAACTCCTTGGACATGGATAACCCTTCCTACACTTGGCTCCCACTCGTCTTGGCAGAATCAAACCTTATTGAACCAAGTCTCAACACCTCTTCGATCCTGGGTCCGTCCTCTTCTCTGGACAACTCAATCTTGGGCTCATCCTTCACCTTGGATGATTCAGCCCCTTCGGGTAATCTTGCAAAACCTCGAGCATCTTAAGCTGGGGACCCTTTGTTTGCTCAGCTCTTCCTCAGCTTAGCATCTTCGACACTTGTACTTGTGCCAAGTCTGTACACATCTTTCCCAAACTCACCATCTAGTTCATCATCGAGTGGACTTTCTCTACCACTCTAGGAACAATATTTCTTATCCTTTGACTCACCTTCATTACGGATTCCCTTTCCACTACCCTCGGCTTTCGACTTTGTTTTGCAAGTCTTGCTCATCTTGACTCCAAATTCTTTGATGGAGTCGGCGGTTGTCAAGACTTTAAACTACTCCTTGACTTCACTTCACTCTAACACTTTCTTTGCCCATGGCTTTAATCCGATCATGAATATGAAGAACCCATCTTCTTTAGTCAAACTCGAGACTTTGAGCATGAGTTTTGTGAATCGACTCACATACTCCTTAAGTGTCTCTTTATGCCTAAGATGCCTCAGTTTTATCTCTCTCTATCGCACCGGGTCTTTTCATGTGCTCGACTGCTTTGACACCTACAGTCTTGTCACTTCTCGATCCTGGATTAACTACTTTGGAACTTGTAGTTGCTCCACTTTCTGGCCTGTCACCATTGACACCTGCAATCACGCTGGGTCTTTTTTTAGGTTTGGTTGCCTTATCATCCACAGTCACACCTCGTCTTTCTCTTGGCTTGGTCGCATTAGCACTCGCAATCGATCCAAGTCCCATTCTTGGATTGGATTCTTTTTCCCTTGTAGTTGCGCCATTTCCTTTCTTGACGGAATTGACACTCGCAACATAATTGTTATTGTTAATGAAAATCACTTTAAAATGCTAATGCAAATGAAAGAAAAATTACCTCATTGCGGTGGAGAGGCTTGACTGGATGCGCGCGTTCTATGTCGTTTGAGAAGAGGGGGCTTTTCGATATAATATCTCTTGAAGGAAGCAAATAATGACATTGTCTAGCAAGACGACCAACTGTTCGCTTGATACGATGCTGCGTACTCGATGGACTAGCCGGTGATGACATCTCCTCGGTGTGGGTAGGCTCAGCATGGACGTCTTGAGATTAGTTTGCTTAAGGGTCAAGAGATGGTTTACCATTGAGATCAGGGGGTTGTTCAAATACTTGTTTAAGAGTAGGTTGGTTAGGGTCTATGATAAAATCATCATCATCAAAGAATTCTGGTGGGATTTCTTGAGTGTTCTCGAAAGAGGAGGAGGAGAAGATGAGATAATCATCTGTTTGGCAGTGGCATTCTTCATGGATGGGGGAGACATACGTGGTAAGAGGAGTGACATCTATGGGGGACTTGGGTGGAATATTTTATGCCGATGCATGAAATGTACTATCGCCTGGAGGGACCGATTGTCGTAGGATTTCATTAAGAAAAGGTAACATATCCTCATTGGTAATTGGTAGCAACTCCTTAAAGAAAACATTCATTTGTGCATCCCGAGCCTTGACATAGTTGAAAAATGTCTACATGTGACCTTCCAGATGCTCCAACCAATCTCACGTCTCCCTATTGAATGTAACCACAACTGCCATTCTTGTAGCGGCTACTGATTTTGCACCTTGTTCCAAGCCATCATGTAGAGCGTTGTCATCAAAACTCATAAGTTCAGGCACCTTCTTTTTGGTGATGCCTTCCTTCAACTTGATAAAGTCCTTGAAATGTTCCTTAATGACTTTTCTCTTCATGCACAAAGCGGTTATCAAATTGGGAACTGCTCAAAAATTATCTCGCCCACATCGATCGAGTACCCATAGATGATAGAGTACAACAACATCAATCGCCTCGCTAACACTGTCCTGTTGTGTGAAGTAGGCATCAGTTTGCCTTTCAAAAATGATTACACAACTTGCTTAGTGTTTTAAGGGCTCGACGATTCACACGCTTTCGGTTAGGCACATTTCCTTCAAAATTTACCCATCCAAAACACAAATTCTCTAGCACACCATCGTACTTTATCGATCTGCCTTGATAAGAAATTTTTTATGTTACCGAGCTTAAAGTAATGGTTTAAGGTCGAGGGTGTGAACCGGATGGATTTCCTTATAACACACACAGTGTGTTGGGATGGGTCGCCTAAGTGGGCGTAAAACTATAGGACAATTACAGGTGCCACTGCCTTTAGATGCCGGGTGAATTTCTCCCATTTATGTTTTTGGACGATGTCCATTACCTCTGGTCCAAAGGGTTCTTCGCCAGCCTCAAGGAAGACAAAGTCATCCTCCAAGTAAACTTGTCGTTTCTGTAGGGTTTTGTACTTTCCCTCAGCCTCGACAGTTTATAAGCGCTCGAATCTTGAGCCAAGACAGAGGATCTAAAAGCTCCTGGATTCTTCTTGGATCGGGCCATGGTGTTTGTTGTGATAGATTTAGGGAAAGAACAGAGGATTCTCATGGCAGTAATGGAGGGTTTTGGTGAAAGGTGTAAAATCGAAGGAAAGAAAGGTTGAAGAAGAAGAAGTTGAAAGTGAGTGAACGGTGAGGAGAAAGAGGAAATAGGCAATTTTGGAGAAAAATAATGGGAATAGGTGGTTTATTGGGGGTAAACAGTAAAATTGAAAGGGAAAAGAGATATCATATTAATGAGGGAGATATGTGATTTGAATAAACAAATAAAAAAAGGGAAAATATCTTTCCCTATTAAAAGTATCGCCAAAATAAATTCTTTAGGGTTTCTCTCTCCCATGCATGAACTTCATCCCTAAGCTGTCAAATGTACCCTTGCTAAAAAAGAACAAAAACTGATATAAATAGAAATAAATAACTCGTGCAGAATAAAATAAAAATAAATTATTTATATATAAAATACAATTTTTTGTTGCCTAGGCAACAAAATTCATTCAGGAAAGAAGGGCAAACTCTTGGGCATCGTGAATTAATTATGCCTATTTATCACGCAGGATGGCTGCTCTATTGCATGCCTTCAGTTGTTAACCATTCATCTTAAAGGTTGATTTATCATTCATGTTCTTGATTTCTATTGCGCCGTGGCTATGGACTTTATGTACGATGATTGTTCCTTCCATCTAGATTTCAGCTTGCATGAAAATAGCTTGAGTCGTGAATTATTGAGTAATACTTGTTGTCTAGGAAAAAAATTGGCTAGGGAAAATTTTTGTGTCATGCCATCTTTTCATTTTTTCCTTGTAAAGCGGGCATTTTCAAATGCCTGAGCTCTAAATTCACCCATTTCATTCAACTCCAACAATTTTCTTTCTCCAACAAGTTGCACATCCATATTTAGTTTCTTGATGGCCCAAAATGCTTTGTGTTCCAATTCCATAGGAAAATAGAACACCTTGCCATAGACTAGCTTGAATGGGGACATTCCGAGTGGCGTTTTGAATGTTGTGCGGTAGGCCCACAATGCCTCATCAAGCTTTGACGACCAGTCTTTGTGCTTTGGGTTGACCGCCTTCTCAAGAATCTGCTTGATCTCGTGATTAGAGACCTCAACCTTCCCATTAGTCTGGGGATGATATGTTGTGGTAATTCTATGGCGTACCCTGTATCTCTTCAAAGCCTTGGCAATTAATTTGTTGTCGAAGTGAATACCTCCATCGCTGATAATTACTCGTGGTACTTCAAAACGTGTGAATATATTTTTGTGCAAGAATTTCAACACGGTCTTGGAGTCATTGCAAGGTGTGGACATAGATTCAACCCATTTGGAAATATAGTTTACTACTAAGAGTGTGTACATATCACCAAAGGACAATGGGAAATTTCCCATAAAATCGATCTCCCATACATCGAAGAGCTCAACTTTCAAAATGTTTTGCCATGGCATCTCATTTCTCTTCGATATGCTCCTAGTGCGCTAGCAATGATCACATGACATATAGAAGTCATGATCATCCTTGAATAAAGTGGGCCAATAGAAATCGGATTGGAGGACCTTGGTAGTAGTCCTCATCTCATCGAAGTGCCCCCAACATGAGGATGTATGGCAATGAAATAAGATCTCCTTATGTTCTTCTTCAGGGATGCACCTACGGATTATTTAGTCGCCATATTGCTTGAATATGAATGATTCATCCTAGTAATAGTGGTGTACATCATATCTGAATTTTTTCCCTGGCTAGATAAATTTGAAGGCATAACACCACTAACAAGAAAATTAACTATGTCAGCGTACCATGGCACTTTCGTGGAAAATAAAATTTTCTCATCAGGGAAATCCTTCAGAATATCTTTCATGTCATGGAAAATGTTATTGTTCTCTAGCCTAGACAAGTAATATGCTACATGGTTTTTAGTACCCTTCCTATCCTTCACCTCTAAATCGAATTCTTGCAGTAATAATATCCATCTAATAATCCTAGGCTTTTTATATTTTTTATTAACTAAGTATTTAATGGAAGAGTGATCAGTATGCACAATGACCTTAGTTCCTATAAGATATGGCCTAAAATTATTAAAAGTGAATACCACGATAAACAGTTCTTTCAGTGGTGGTATAATTACGTTATGCATCATTAAAGGGTATGGCTAGCATAATAGATGACATGGAAGATTTTGCCTCTTATTTGCCATATCATTTCCCCTACAACATAGTTATTTGCATTGGACATCAGCTCAAAAGGGGCATCCCAGTTAGGTGGCACAACAATTGGTGCCGAGGTAAGTTTTTTCTTCATATCATTGAACGCGTTGAGGCATTCATCATTGAACATGAACGGTTGATTTTGTTGAAGCAACAGACACAAAGGCTTTGAAATCTTTGAAAAGTCCTTGATGAACCGCCTGTAGAATCTTGCATGCCCTAGGAAACTTCGTATGCCCTTCACAGTGGTGGGTGGAGGCAAATTCTCAATTATTTCCAGTTTGGCTTTGTCAACTTCGATGCCTTAGTGAGAAATTTTTTGTCCCAACACAATTCATTCGGTCACCATGAAGTTACATTTTTTACTGTTTAGCACAAGGTATGACCCCCTCTCTTCTCTTCATCACTTTAGATAAATTGTTGAGGCATCGGTCAAAGTCATCGCTCGAGACAAAAAAGTCATCCATAAATATTTCTATGCAGTGCTCCACCATATCTGAGAAAATGACCATCTTACACCTCTGAAAAGTTTTCGGAGCATTACATAGTCCGAACGACATTATTCTAAAGGCATAGGTACCATACGAGAAGGTGAAAGTTGTATTCTTCTGATCTTCAGGTGCTATTGCAATCAAATTGTATCCAAAATATCCATCAAGGAAACAGTAAAATGCCTTGCATGCTAACCGATCAAGCATTTGATCGATGAAGGGAAGAGGGAAGTGGTATTTCTTCATTATCTTGTTGAGTTTTCTGTAATCCATGCAAATCCACCAGCTTGTGTGATTGTTCTTGTAGTCGAAAGCTCATCATTCTCATTCTTAACCATGGTCACGCCACCCTTCTTTGGCATGCATTGAACTGGACTGATCCATGAACTATCGGATATGAGATAGATCACCCTAGCATCAAGCCATTTTATGATTTCCTTCATCACCACTTTTTTCATTATCGAGTTAAGTCACCTTTGAGGTTCCACCGAATTGCTATGGCTATCCTCTAACTAGGTCTTATGCATGCATATTGTAGGGTTAATTCCCTTTAAGTATGTCATAGTACACCTGAAAGCTTTTCTTTGCTGTGACAAAACATTCAACAAACTTCCCTCTTGCTCGGGGGTTAGACTAGAAAAAATTATAACTGGTAAAGTTTCATCACTACCTAGATAAGCATATTTCAAATGTGATGGAAACAATTTAAGTCTAAGGTAGGTGCATGCTGCATTGAAGGTTTTGGAGGAATAAATTCATTGAAATCAAGGGGTTTGAATCTCATACCTGGTCTAGCTTTGAGTAAATTAAATTGTTCCACTTCCAATGAATCATCTTCAAACTCTGTACTTGCTTTGTCTTCAGTATGTTTTTCATATGCTTCAATCAAAAAACTTTTACCTAGGAAAATATTTTCGTATGCTACGTTCAGAAAAATTTTGCCGGGGCAAAAAAATTTTGTGTTCCTCAGATTGTAAAACATCGTCTTGGAAAAACAATTTACACTCTTCCTTCTGGAGAATTTTGTCTTGGCACAAATTTTTATGCTCATCAATATGTAAAAAGTTGCCTTGGCCAAACTTTTATGTTCCAGTTTCCTCCAGTGAATCAACGTCTTCAATGTAATAACATTCTTCAAAATCATCAACGTATTTAAGAATGTTGAAGACATTGATCGTGATACTTTGAACCGCTACCCTCATTGTGAACTTTACCTTCTGACAATCCATTAAAATACGCCTTGTAGTTAAGAATGGACGTCCAAGAATAATAGGTGCATTTACATTGGACTCACAGTCTAGAATGAGGAAATAAGCTGGAACGAAAAACGTGTTTACTTTAACAATCACATCTTTAATTCTACCCTCAGGACGAATGTGTGACCGGTCAGCTAATTGTAAAATTACAGTGGTTGTTCGGGTATTCCCCATTTGAAGCTTTAGAAATATGGACTTGGGCATCAGATTTAATCATCGCTGAACAATATTTTGTTGCCATGGCAACAGTTTCTATTCCTTCCACATTTCTCTTATTTGTGACAATATCCTTAAAAAATTTGGCGTATGAAGGCATCTTCTCAATGCCTTCAAGTAATGGAACATTGATATGTAGCTGGTCAAGGACATCAACAAAATTTCTGAACTGGATCTCGTTAGTATGCTTCTTCAACCACTGAGGGAAGGGTGCTGGAGGTCTGACTTCATCCGTTGCAGGTGGTGAAGGAACTTCTGCCTTGGCAAATAATTTTTCACCATCAGTGTATTGACTTGTTGAACCCTTATTCTTTTCCTTCTCCTTAGGCAGTTCTTCTTGTTCAACAATTTTAGTTTGATATTTAGGTTTTTCATGTATGGTGCCTTGGCGAGAAATTTCTTGCTTCTTCCCCCAAACGTATTGTAATACTCCAAAAATTTAGACATTGAAAACAATGAAAATTTTGAAAGTTTGATGGTCAAAGTACAAAATTGGGAAAAAGTTTGAGGAATTAAGCGATAAATTTCCTAAAAAGAATTTTATTCCATAAATAGATAGTTTACTCTTGAGAGTGGAGTTTTATAGAAATCATATTTTTGGATTTGGGATTTTAGTAAAGAAAAATTAGAAAGGGTAAAGCCGGTAAGGAATCGGTAAATTCAGATCGAATTAGAATTTTACAAAAATTTGAATGATGTTATAAAATGGTTGGAAATATTATTTTAATATTTTAGATCAGATAAATTTGGCTTGGAAGTGTGCAATTTTTCAGATTTAATCGAAATAGTGGAATTTAGTGACTAAAATGCAATATTTGAAAATTCAGGGGAAATTTCAGAAATAAAAGTCAAAATAATTCAGCTTTGACTTTGAAATATGATAAGGATGAGTTGTCATGGTTTTATGGTAAATAAGAAGATTCATTAAGGGTGATTTGGTCTTATCTCAACTAAATGAATATTTTATTCATTTAAAGTTAGATTAAATGTAAATTAAGATGAAATGTATCTAACATTTCATTTCACATGCTCATCTTCTTCTCCAAAGCTGCGTGGGTTTCTTCTAAGGTAAGAGAAAGCTTCAATTCAATTTTCAAGCAATTTCCTTAGGATTTTGAGTATGGTGAAAATAGAAAATTGTTATATGCGAAAAACGCTATCATTTGGTACCAATATTGCATGATAATATTGTTAGTGTTCAAGTTCATCTTGAGTTGATGAAGGTGTTCTTTTGTTTTATGGGTTATGAAGAGTTAAGTGATTTTAAGGAATTGAATGTAAGAATTGATGAAGAAACTAGGGATGTGGTTAAAGAAAACAATTTATATTTTGAATTTTACAGTGGGTTTGGAAATTTACCAGAAATTATATAAAAATAATTTGGAGGTTATTTTTATTTATTATGTTCATATATTGATCTAGTTCTGTCTAAAACAAACGGGGATCAATTTCAAGGTGTATACAAAAAGATATGAATTTTTAACCAAGTAAAGGTCAGAAAAATCGGACAACAGATTCTGCAAAACAGATTATATTGGTCAACTTTGAAAATTCACCATAAATTTTAAAGAATGAACTAGAAGGAGTTCTTTATATGGATAGATTTTTATTCGAGTCTAGTTTTCAACGGAAGAAACGGAATTAAATTCCAGTCTGTATATAAATACAGAATACTGATTCTTTCAAGGTAGTACGAGTTGTCTGAATATGGAAAATTGATGGGTTGTTGTGTAGGAGTTATAATTGATGTACTTTGCTGGAAAATTTTGTTTTGGAATTGAAATGAGTGTTAAGTGTGAACTATGATTATTTTGGAAGTTTTAAAAGATTAGTGATTTAAGTACAACAATTGTATAGTTGGTGTACTTAAATGTAATTATGCTTTTGTAAAAGCATTTGGATGGGAATATATTTTAATGCTGGAATTATGAGTATTAATAATTTAAGTGGTAAAATGGTGAAGGACTATTTTGGGTAAATTGGAAAAGTTGGTTCCAATGTTATATGAATTATTAAGTATTGAGTATTTTGATAGAAAATGAGTTCAAGTAT